GCAGTGCAGTCAGGCTGCGCGCAGTGCAGTCAGGCTGTGTCACGCGCACAGTTAGGCTGCGCGCAGTGCAGTCAGGCTGTGTCACGCGCACATTTGGGCTGCGTGTAGTGCAGTCAGGCTGTGTCACGCGCACAGTTAGGCTGCGCACAGTTAGGCCGCGCGCAGTGCAGTCAGGCTGTTATGTTGAGTGAAGCGCTGGAGATGGGAAAACAGTTGGGGGCTTAATTTAGTTACCACTAAAAAGTTGTTTTAACTGTCACTGAAAATGTATAATTTTTCCCTTTTCAGTGTCATTCAGCCTTGCTTTGAAGGCTACTACTGATGTTATCTTTTTGCAGCAGCGAGTGGTGTCTTATTATGTATGGAAATGCATTAATGGAGTAACATTTAAGCCAGAGAAGTGTTGTTGGGATTGTGTTATTAAAAGTCTCCTTTCGCCTTAACTGCCCCAGTCATAGGTAATTAGATGATTCTATGGTGCTGCACTTGACCTGTCTCTTCAGGTTCATTTCAGTTTCAATGTAATTTACTCATGCAACTTTATAATGTTTTGTGTTATTTTGTAACAAGAAGTAATATCTCATTTTGTGTGGTAAGAAATGAATATTCTGTTCAATATTTGATTCATGTTTCTCTGTGTTTGGGGTGGGGGCAGGGTTATTTGAATAATGACCGGTGAAATTTGATTAGTAAGTCTACCTAAAATATCCATCCCTATTAAGTGTATAGCTTTATGAATTTTAAGCTGTTTTACATCTATGCTGGACATTTTTTATACTGTTTAAAATGCTTAAAGTTTAAATATGAGGCTCTTGTCATCTTGGATTATTTGTATTGTATTAATTTCCATTTTGTCCATGTGATTCTCTCCATGTGGAAAATATATGTATCAGCAGAGCCTTAATTTCAGAAAAGGGGCTGTTGTGAACAGAAACCCGGGCAGATCTGTCCTGGTGCACGAACATTCATTGTACCCTTGCTCTCCAGGTTTAAGATGGCCCGCACACAGAGTCACCTCATCTCTCCATGCCTTGAAGAGTTGGAGAAGATTGTGGGCAAGACACAGAGCAGCACGGCGGATGTAGCCTTGCCAAACGGTGGTCCGAGCTAGCGTCAGACTTTGGGGGGCTGCTCTGGTGCCAGATGCCGCTCACTTAATCGTCGCTGTAGTGCAGGGTGATGCTCGGCCTCCGTCCGACTGATCTTCGAGGCTCCAGCGGTGCAGTAACGAGTTGCCGTGGAAATCCGTGTTTGTGGCATGGCGCTTTAGCCCAGATCTCCGCTGAAAGCCGGCGGCCTCCAGGGCACTGCTGGAAATATCCCCTAAAATGTTAAGGGGGAAACAGCTCGGAGAAGGGATTTATTTGACCTCATCTGAACTGCCGCGGCTGCCTTATTCCCAAAGACTTTGGCTTAGGGCTACATTTCTAATTAAAAAAAGGAACAAAAAGCTTTTTAAAAATTGATAAAATATTGTGTCTGAAAAGGGGGTGAAAATGAAAACATTCCACATTAATAGGATTATTTTTGACATGAAGGATTTTGTATCTGTATAGCCTTTTTAATTGAATGTATAAACTTAATATTTATATGCTATTTTTCAAGGGAAGTAATATCCATGAAATCCTTTGCATGTAAACTGATCTGTGTAGAAGTAAATGTACCTGTATGTTCTGCAGATCTATTTAAGTTTATCGTCTACCTGTCTGTGTGCATGTGTGTTTTGTTTGGTTGCGTTATTGAGTTTCTGCAGCTTTGGTTGAAAATAAATTTTAAAACCAGGTTGCATCTGACTGGGGTCCCGCGTCAGCGTAGCATAAATGGCGAGAACTTGAAGCTTTCTTTTCTGAGTTTGTCTGTTCACCTGTTATTAATACGCCATCGGTGCCAGATGGTTAGGTGGTTTGGCATTTACTCTGTCTGCCACGTCGGGGGTGTTGGAGAACGTGGGAGGTGTTTGCAGGAATAGTTTGCCAGCACCCACTGTGACGGGAGCTCTGATCGTACTGTCCATATTGTTGTATCCTGCAGCTGATATAGGGGAGGAGTGTGAGAGGAATGGAGAGACTGAGGCTTATTTTCATTGCTGAAATCAGCCCCCCCCCCTTTTTACTGCAAACTACCCTCCCATCTGTTCCTTTATAACTTTGTGTAATGAGCTCAGTGTCTACATTTATATGATTTGGTCCTTGAAAAGTCTGAAAAGGACACAAAAAGTAGATTATTTCTATGCAAACCGCTGTTAGCACTAAACGCTAACATCCCTGTTTGGTGCTACATCATGGTGTTGGTGTATGTTTAAGTCTAACCAAGGCAGCAATGTGGATGTTAATGTCTGACCTGAAGGTTGCTGGTTCTAGTCTCATAAATGCCCCTGCAGTAGCACGCGGCATCTGCTGACTTGCTCTAGTACATAAAGCCGATTGCATGGCTTTTGCGAAGAGGGAGAGAAACTGTACATCTGTCCCGTCTTGAGCTTCGTGATGGAGAAACCGACCTGACCTCTGACTCACAGTGAATAATGGCAAATGTCTTGGTCATTAACACGTTTTAAACATTCTTGTCTTTTCGCTCAGAACAGAATAAAAATATGCAGCAATTGTTGCATTTTTCATTTCTTTTTTTTTTTAGCCAAGTATTTTAAAGTTACACCGAAAGAAATACTATGATTGCAGTAATTGTCTGGTGTCAAAGTGACTGTGTAAATAAGTAACATGGTATTTAAGGTGGTGCAGTCAGTGCCATTCGCCCACCTGAATGGAGGCAACGGGGCTGTTTGTGCTGGTTCTGAGATGCCAGGCAAAAGCATTGTGAGAATGAGATAAAGCGAAACAGTCTTGTCAGCTTTCCGGTCAGATCTGGTTTGATCCTGTCGTCTGGCTTTGTCGTTTATATGAGTCTGTTATGGTGTTTAGCCCATTTGGAAAAGGGGGCTCGTCATTAACAGTGTCATTCGCAGACGAGGACTGAGGGAACGGTAACAACCCAAGGAAGTTTATCCTCACGCTGCCTGCATTTTGGGCCAATTCCTAGCGCTGGGTTTGTACAGTCTCTCCGGCATTAATATTCAAACAATGTAGGCAGTCGATATATGAAACGTATCTAGTGGACAATGTCCCTTACAGTATGTGCTGTACATAACAGCTTCTGCCTTTTCCCTGTTGTTTGATAGCACTAGTCGCTTGAAACATAATGTACTGTATTGCTTGCTGTGTGCAGAATATATGGGTTTGCAGTTTGCATTTGCCTGGAATGGTGAGATAGTAAATATGAGAGGCTGCGTGAGACAGGTGTGATTGAAGGCAAAAGCAGAGTTACCTTCTCCGGCATATTCCTCACCGACATCCGTAGCAAACATCTCCCATAATTTCTACCAGTTCCAAACATTCCTCTAAACAGCAACAGCTTAACACCTAAAGATAGTTCTTGTTCCCGGTCTAATCACAACTGTGCGGTGAGCAGATGAGCATTTCTATCTGTGAATCAGATACAGTGACCTGGTGTTCAAATGTCACGTTGCACCTGAGCCACCTTGACTGAGACCCTGGGTTTTTGCATTTGTGCCTTCCAAATAAATAAATATGGTTACACTATCTCACTTACCAGTTAGAAAAGCAAAACGAGCTAAGAGTGTGGCCAGCAATGTTTGTGGAAGAGGAAACGGAAGGGCCGTAAAGGGACTGGAATTAAAGGGGGCGCTCTTGGGTGCCGCCCTGTTGACAGAGAGGGGGAGCTGACAGTTGCTTATTGATTTTGTTTGAGGCGGAGGATGTTCTTTGGATGTCTCACTAATGATCAAGGGAGATTTATTTTTTCTTCAGTTTTTGGAAGGTGCCTTCTCTGTCATGCTGGATATAATCACTGTTAAAAAAGAAAAGAGGAAAAGCTAATTATGCCTTGAAAGCGCGTGGTACTAATTACCAGAACACCCACACATGCCTTTCTCGCCATTTACTCTGGGCTGCGCAACTCTGGGTTCATAATTCCATCACAAAGGAAAGAAAGAACTGTATAAATCAGGCAAGGCTTTTACACATCACGCATAGTAAACACCCCAGACAACAGTCCACAGCGCTCCGGATCTGTCCTGCAAGGTTTCCTCGTTCTTAATCCAGATCTCTGTGGCTTCTGTCTATGAAGTTGTTTCATGCTCCTACTAATGCTCTCTAGATGTAAAAAAAAGACTAAAAATTGAATCGTTTAAAAAGAGTTAATGAAATGATTCATTACTGTTTCTGGGACCCTTAGCACTTGTACACATGCAGTGTGACCGTCCGGCTGATTTTGCTCTTCTGTCTGACACCTATTGGGGGCGCTCATGAACTCTGTTTCTGAAACTCTGGTTTCTCTAAATCCCATAGAGGTAGAAGGAGAATAGTTAGTGTCAGTCATAGTATAATACCCAACTTAAACTGTACTGCTTAATTTTTAGCAATTTTGAACTGGGCAGAGTAGAAATGTGGTTGGTTTTTTTGACAGTTCTCAGCAAAAATAAAGTCTGCAAGCTGAATTTCGATTGCTCTTATTGTTAAAGTGTGAGTTTTTTGGAGGAGGCGCAACTTGGGATGTGGAAAAGCACGCAAAAATCTGAGAGGGTTGGGGAATCGCCGGGCCCGTATCCAGCCTACTTTGTTTCTCGCCTGTTCACCATCAGACTTGTTCGTTGCAATTCTAGTCAGCACCCTTATTTGTTTGGCCAAGAGGATTAGGGTTAGGGTCCAAGTTACAGCAGAGAAACAAACGAGCCCATTTAAACATGGGCTCCAGCTAAAGAACACAGCCCTTCTGCTTTTGGACATTTTAGGCCACACAGCCATGGCAGTTCTTCACTGAGCGTGCTCGCAGCGTCTCCGCTGGGGTAGGACTGCCTTCCATTATCAGTCTCACTTCCCATTTGTATTACCACCCCAAAGCATCAGCAATGTTACATTTCGTCTGGTGTGCTCTTCCTCGCCAAGCCAGTGTCCCGGAGAGGACGTGATATGAGCGTTATTAAAATCGCGGACAAGCTGCCCCACTACTTCCCAGTCACTTACAAACGGCACAATGAATTACCTCGGCAGCAACAACTGAAATGGCACAATAACAGCTTAATATTTGCATCTTATCTTGGAGAGAAAGCTAATGACACTGTTGGGACAGCATTTAGAGGATATTTCATTTTCCTTGGCTTTTGTTTTGGTTAATTAGCTGATAGATGTTCATTGGGAAAAGGCAATTTCACCAGCGATAACAACTTCAGTAATCATCATACTTTGCAATATCCACAAAACACAGCATTTAAACTTTAATTATTGACTTGAGGGAGAGATTTTTGCAATGGTTCTAAGTCAGGTTGCTGTGCCCATCATTGCACACTTGTTCAGTTTATGTGTCTTTATTTCACAAATAGTACTACGTTATAGTCTTTTTAATAAACAATTTAATAACTCTATAACTATTACATTTATAATTTTAGCTACTGTCTGCTTTGACTGAAATCTGCCTCCCAATACAACAAAATTGTCTTGTATTGAACAAGTTGGGATGTAGAAGGTGTAATTAAGATTTGGAAAATGTGTTGGGCTCTGGCCTTACAGACACATACCTCTGGTGTCACAACCCTCAGCTCCTGTCCCTGGGAGACATATTAGTCTTCTCTCCAGGTGGCTGGAAAGAGAAGATGAAACTCCACAGCTTCTCTGGACCCAGGCCCCGGGACCACCTGGAACAAGANGGAGACATATTAGTCTTCTCTCCAGGTGGCTGGAAAGAGAAGATGAAACTCCACAGCTTCTCTGGACCCAGGCCCCGGGACCACCTGGAACAAGAGAACACACAACACAGTCACAACCCTGTCAAACACGGGCTGGGGCCGGGGGGGGGGGGGGGGAATGCAGCATAACCTTGTAAGAATTTCCAAACTTGTAATTAACAACTTCACGCATCTTTAATTCCTTCTATATTCATGAGCACCTGTTTCAGATGACCTGGGGATGGAGACAGCGCAATGTTGCATGTTAAACACTTGGAGTTAAACTTCCCCTGCTCCTGTGCGAGAGTGAGGTTGCTGGAGATGACTCAGCGCAGGAGGGTGAATCAGCATAGCACTGCCTCTTCCGTTAGCTGTTTATGTCCAAGGAGGAACATCAGAGGTCCCACAATGTTCCTGTAAAGTCTTTTGCTGCCAGGCGTCCGGTAGCAGGTACAGGAGTATCTGTTTCACACTCCGGCTGTAGGTCAGGCCGCTGTGAAGTCGATCTCTGTTCTCAAATTTTTCCGTGATGTCTGCTGTCATGCTGAAAACGTCAGCCTTCTAATCGCAACATTATACATGGCCCAACGGAAAAGAGGTAGAACAGAATAGGCATGGCCGACTGGTCAGGAGCGCAAGTCCGGCTGTTGGTTTTATGCTGGGAACAATGAAGAGTAAAAGGCATTTCATCTCCGATACTCATGTGAAGCCCAAAACCTTTCATATGTCTGCTGAAGAGGGCAACGCTGAGCAGTGCGTATCACGCCTGCGTATATGTGGTAAGCATTTTAGACCATCGATCCCTGCACTTCGAGGCATTTTCAAGTATTCTAGGGGTCCACACCGAACATACAAACCCTGTCGAGCTTTGCTACTTTGACACGGTGTGGACTGCCCAGTTTTCTGTGATTTATTATGGCTGGAAAGCAATTATAGAGCTGAACAAAGGCTGCGCAAACAGATGTTTCTACAAAGAAAAGGCCTCAGCAAGCCCCTCGGTTCTTCGTTAGTGGCGTCCATTGTGTGGCATGGCGATCACAACAACCCAACTATACTACC